GTTGTACGGCAGTGAACCATCGGTGTTGAACACTGATGTCATGCTGTCGATGATGATGACGATACACAAGCATCTTTCTTGGACGTCCAATAGCAGAGGATTAATAAACTCAAGCCTCGGAGCAAACTGATCTCCTAATTCAGCGGTTATTTGCAGGCTGGCTAGATCGCTCCTCATTAGGGCGTATTCCTAATGAAAACTGATGGATTTGAGTACAATTGTAAAGGAAAAGACGGAAAAATCGATAGAACCAAGTCATAGAACAATGGAACCGGATTCCTTGATGTTCAGTTTTACTTTTAGGAAAATCCTCTTACAAAAATATTTTACAAAATACCTCATTAGTGCTTTTGTGTTTACATTCATGGCATTGAAAACGAATTGAGTTTTCGGCTTTGCGAATTCCGGAATTAGTGAGTACAATGCGGTCACCTTTAGTGACGTTATCGATCACAAGCACTACATGTGAACCTACAGTCTCAGGTAGTTTAAGGTTTTTACTCCGGTTAAATTCCCCCACCGCAAAAAATATTCTATAGAGCACCAAATTGCATACTGAATAGACAACAGTTCAAACAATATTCCCTCAAAAGGATAAGGATATCGCGATCTAGTGGGTAGCGACCTTAGTTGGAGCGCTTTCATTCCGGAAATTTACCAGTACTCCGTTGTTTCTAGCAAGAAAAATCTTTCAGCTGTGGCACCATTCCGGTGCATAACCGCCATGCCACCCCAAGGAAGCATGAGGGCTGGGATACTGTCAGGTTGCCCAAGCCTAGACAGGGATAGTCGAGAGGTAGAGGTCGGGTTCGAGTCACGGACCTTCTGGTCAGTAAATTCGCGCTCTTGGGCCATCGCACCCTATCAAGAAAGCTATCAGTGACAATAAAAACTAAAGTGCACGGCGAGGAAAGGCATCAACAGCGTGGAAGTAATCTGGGTGTTTTGACCAGATTGGGATGGGTTAAAATTTAAAGACTGCGAACACTTAAGCATCGGTTTCGTGGAATGTGAGTAAAATCAGGTAAGTTCAATCGCTGGCGTCCTTCGACTGCTCGGCTATCAGAGTGTCACATCCTGAGCGAATACCCTACTGGCATGCAGTAATGGATGAAAGACCCCTTTATTAATGGCTTTCTCAGTGACTGATATTTCTGTTCCCACAGAACTACATAACTTTTGACGTTACCTCTTCTAGGTTTTTTCGTTCCTTATGATGGAATTTAGTTCAATATGTGCATATTTTATACAAGTGACATAACATATTTGCTCGACATGTTAATCTTGGCAGTTCGACGAGGTTGAAGTAGCTTCTACTTTAGAGATATATCACATAGATACATAATATAATATACTACAGTATATGTAGATATTATATACACTGTTGAATGATCAGGTGGCAGTTGATCTATTCGCCGAGCTTGGTAACTGGTTCCCCAGTCGAGGAGACATCATCTGTGTGCAGTCTAGAGGAACGTGCCCAGCTGCGTTTACATAGTAGTTGAAGAGTATCTGATATCCTGTCATTTGATTGGCTGATCGATATATACTTTTTGTTGTATTGTTGGCCCGATCCTGATTTGCGCTGCGTTGAGGTCTGTAAGTGCCATATTCCATTGGTTGGTTGGATGGCTTTCCTGAGGTGTTTCAGGTCCGTCCCTGATTGGTCCGTTCCCAGTTTGTGTTCCGTTGTTCTACTTTGAATTTGGTTGGTTGTGATGGTGGTATCTATTTCCGGTAGCTTCCTTACTTCAGTCTGAGTCATCCTGGTTGACTTCCGTTTCTCAACCTCCGCGTCCAGTAGTTCACTGGTTCTTTCGCTTGCGGTGGCTTTTCAGTGGAGTGCCATGCTTCCATAAGTTCGAAACAAGTACGAAGCAGGATATCCAAGATTCCTCGGTTCCTCTTCCTTCAAACGAAGACATGAAACAATATGCCCAATTATTTCTTGGTTCGGGAGTTTTCTCGTAGATGAGCAAAACCGATGAATACGTTTTAGGGCCTCATCAGGTGGGTCCCCTGTGGAGAGGTCAGCTGAGTTACTGTTCAGGCTTAGACCAGAGCCTCTTATGCGCGCGGAAATGCCTGCTCAAACAGTCTAGTTCACAATTCAATTTTCACACGGTTGAAACACAGCCTACTATACTCAAACGAGGTAATTCACTAAAAAGTCCCGAACATATGATCGATCGCGCGCGTGAGGTTATTGTAGACATTGCATTTCCGTCCACACTGAGTGCATTGCTTTTTGTTCAACTTTTCGTCTGGTCTATTCGTCCCCATCACTCTTCATTCCGAAACAAAAGTATCCATTGTTTGTTGAGCTGAGTAGACTCACGTCATAGGAGAGCGTGTATCTCATTCACAGATTACATTACTCTAGTCAAACTTTACGATGGACGGGTTACGCGGAAGTAGTCGTTAGAATAAAAAAATCCACATGGCTCACAAAAAACGTTTGATCCTTTGACTTGGCTGCACTGCCCGTTTTCAGTGTAACTGCTTGTTTCGCTGTGCCACCTGTGCGTCACAACGAGGTGGCTTACACGGTTGGGAAGTACGGTCCGTAGAAGGTTTATGGGTAGGAAACAGAAAACGGGGTTTGTCATCAAACACTGTGACGTGAGATTATCCCTCGAAAGTGGAGTAGCTCTGTTCTGAAAAAAAGAGGCCGTGTTCACACACTGCTGTGAATCACCATTAATGCAAGACTTACGAGTCTCCCCGTGGGACCCTCTAGTTTCTTTAGTTGCCCAGAGTTAAAATCGGGGACTTCCAATTTGTTGGTCTGGGTTCGAACCCATGCGAAGGTATGTTCAGAAAGGTTACCAGTCCCCGTGTTTTCCACCAAAGATATAGTTAACCCTTATGAAATATCCCACTTCTCCGTTACAATCACCCTTTGAGCACCGTGCAACCCGGTTTGGATGTTAGTCCCCGTGTTTTCTATCAAAGATATAGTTAACCCTTGCGAATTATCCGTTTCTCCGCTACAATCACCCTTATCGATTCATCCTCCTCGTCTTCACCCACCCGAAGCTTTCTGTTGAGCGCGGAGCCACATGTGAAACAGTTTGAGCACCGTGCAACCCGGTTTGGATGTTCGAGTATGAGATGAGTAGTTCTCAGACTACCAGACTGCACTAACAATGGCCGGAAGTTGCTGACCAAGTTGAAACCCCCGTAGTTTACAATAAGAATGATCACTGAAATCAATTCCAGAACAGTGCTGGATTCGACAAGCAATAAAATTCGAAGAAGTTCAACGTTAACACCGCGCCAGTGACAGATTCTAAAGTGCGAGCAAAAGTTTTCCAATGGTTTTTTAAGTTCCGGAAGTCCGCAGAAGTCGCGTTTGACAAAAGTTGTATTATTTAAGGAGTTTCGGATAAAATTCGTTTGGATCTTGTTGAACAGATTGAGCGCCATGTGGAAAGTTCTGACTTTGAAATTCCCGTAAAGTTGCATCAGCTTGGTTGATCAGAATGTTTTGTTTACAACGTAACTCAAATCAACCAGTTTGGGACCACTTTACTATCGACCAGTCTGATAGATCGAAATATCCTTGTGCAATTTACGCTTTCCTCTTTTCAACCAGAGAACTTTGTTCACGGGCAGTCCGACAGTCTCAAACAGCTGTTTGTGAACGGACAGACAACATTTCAGTCTATCGGTGGCACCCGCCTCCGCAAAACCCAGAGCACGTTACTCTATGTGCTGACACAGGACGATAGAATCTGAAGTTCGTCTGATAGAGTGAAATGTCAACAACAGATGTTGACCGACTGATGACGCTGTCAGTTGGCAGCAAATTGGAACAGGTTGCTTCTGCAAGTGGACAAAACAAACAACTGTTTTACCAGTGACGTATGAACTGATACACGAAGCGAATGGACGCCACTCAATTTCTCGTCTGTAATAACCTCCTGATCAGACCGTTTACACAGCTCTGCGGCGTTGTACGATTTTCCCAGCGTTGTAAACAAACCACCGTCTACTAATTTCGGCCAGCGACTTCTCCGTATGCTGCAGTAATGTCTGTACTAAGCTGTGTGAATTTGTGATCGGTCAAACAAACAGCACAACCGAGATGAATGTAGCAAAACTATTTACCCACTTGGAATCGAACGTCACTGTGTACGTAATGCTAACTGATGAACAGCAGTTCGTTGCAGTTGACGCCTTCAACCGGGTTTGCTTCTCAACAATCGACGGACTGACGATTTGAGCCAAAGTCTTCTGGAGTCTGTCGCCATCTGTTGGGCGGTAATTTATGGCTTTCTTTAATGTAGGATTTCAAATCGACAAAAAATCGATACGATGGAGTTGGGATGAAAAGCCCGCAAGCGTCCTAATTGATCATAGAAGAGAATTCTTTGGGTGATTGGATGCTAAATTTCTTCCATACGCCGATGGCACTATCAAAGATGACACCACTAAAGATTATGCAGCTCACCTTGTTCGCAAATGGAATACGACTCACCTCAACTATTGAGTTACCGACAAGGATGAGGCCAAATCTGTGCTTTTTGTTTATACGTGGGTGGGATTAGTCAGTGAAGCTGCTGTCCCCAGTCTAGTGCCTGGTACCAGAAAAGAACTCACCGAAAAGGGTACACAACAGCTTTATTCCAAACAAGTGAGTGCTTGTGCGTGTAAAAGTTACAACGGCTCCGCGCCATTTGAAGGGGACTTTCTGACATTGATCCAGGCTGATTGGTAGGCGTTTAGTGAACATCCATCAACATCGATCGTGCTTCTATGAAATGCCTGAACGCTGATCACATTCGGTCGTGCTTATGTGGCCTACCTGAACACTCATCAGCTTTTGCTGAATCGATTGAATGACTTGACTGGTCTGATGCTTGCCGGCTTCCCCATCGAGGTTTGGTTGGAATGTTAGGGTCACAGTAGGTTCTGATCGTCCTGGGGTTACTTTCAGGAATTTGACCTTCCTGATAGAAGCTCAGTGTCCAAACACAATCTACTTGCCCTGGAAAATATGTAAAATTTTCCAACTCTAGGCCGCTGAAGTAAAAGTCGTGCAAAGTCATCCGGGGAAGTGAAGTCTGCATATGATGCAGACAATCTATCCGCGACCCTAGAGGATGCCCATTCAGGCTAATCAAACGACATAGCAAAATGTCTCATCAGTTGTGAAAACGTGGCCAAAAAGTGCATACGCTTTCCGTTTAGACAGGATAACCCAGTTATCGTGCGCCCTTTTACTGCGTTATACATACCTTCTATCAGGGGAGAGAAACTAAGTGGCGCCAGATCCCACTGTATGCGTCAGTTCACCACTCAAGAAAGATATTCATAGAAGATACGGACTTCTCGTTCTAGGTGCAGAGGACTTGCTTAAACGCGGGTCCCGAAGACCGACCAAACACTCGCTCCCTGTCGAAAGCTATCAGCCCCACCGTTCGGCCGAAATCCACCGAGGACACATCACTCTATTGAACGAAAGTCAGATTTTACTATTTCATTTCGGTACACAGGGTAACATGTTTTAAATTTCATGGAGATGGGGGCCATTGATGGACTTAAATTTATCCACTGTGTTTGGAGAACAGTTGCGTTGGACTTTTAGGCGTCCAAGGACCCAGTGGAAGAGAACTCACTGTTGATGATGAAGTTCTTGGGCTGAGACTGGCAGTGATGTTTCAAACGTTACGTCATCAATTGATCTGATACCATCAGTGCATTCTGTCGATGCTCAATCACAAGAGATGGATCGATCGGTACTGTCTGATTAAAGACGTCATCATCACAAATTCGGCTGTTCTGATTGGTTGATTCAGTTTGTGCTGCAGCACTTGCTGTTCTAGGGGCTGTTTTCAAATCAGATAGGACGAAATTCTGATTCAGACAATTCATATGTTTTCTGGCTGGTGTTCTGTTCCCCAGACTTGTTAAGTCGAGGGGTCATCATCAATGCTGAAAAAATGCGCTAACAACACAGGTTACGCGAGTTTTTGTGAACGCCTATATGGCCTTGACTCCCCAATTGTGTTTCCCAATCTAGACCGGCCATCCACCTAGCTGAAATGGTCGCCGCGTCCTTTAGTTGTATATTCGAATGTGTGTGTGTGTGTGAGTGCGGGCAACTGACCTACTTACCCATACGCATTCGTATCCTGTTTGCTGGCCTTAACTTGTTCCGTGTGACCGCACGGTCGATAAGATTCACGAGACTGTCGTCGGAGGGGACGACCGCAACCCACGCTACTGAGCCACCATTCCGCTCGCCGTTGTTTGGTGTGCGGGCGTTGACACTGCACTGTGCCGGTCAGTGACAGATCTGTGAACTTTTTGACGCTACGAACGTGAACAATTTGGACCGATCTAACCGCAGAGACCGCCTACAGACCGAATTAGAATAGCGAATGAGTAAAAACGGAAATAGAAGTTTGTCGAAGTATCTTTCGCTTGAAGATAGATCATCTGTATCCATCTATACTTTCCTGAAAACGCCACTCACTTCGTTTGACGCAGTGAAACCACAAAATTTAATTCCGAAAAAGCTGTTCTCGAATTTGTTTTTCATAAAGCGTAATACAATCCACAAAGGTTGGCATGTAATGCCAGGTGGTTGTGCGACCGTCATTCACCATTCAGATAGTGGTAAATTCTTCATGATGGGGTTCCAAACTTCATGGAGAGAACGTACGCATGTTTGCAGGCAGATTACCCTTTTCCGTGAGTTTCAGAACATTTCGTGCATAAATTGAACTTTGGGATGAAAACGAAGTTGGATGGTGGCCCAGGCTGACAAAAAAAATGGGCAAGCTAGGCATGTTGCGAATAAGAAATGTTAAGCAAAACTCCAAAATATAACTCAGCAACACTTGATTTCCAGGTGAAGAATACACCTGTAAAATGTGAATGCATTTTAGGGGAACCGTGAAAAACTTTTGGTTTCCAATTCGGGACATTCTACGTAAAAGCTGGTGAGTATGTGCGAAGCGGATAGTGAATCGATAAATATGAATTTCATTTAAATGAAAAAGCATGAAAAAAGGTTTCAGCGTATCGACAGATTGCACTTATCTTTTCAGTCAATAACTTAAACCATCAGTTCTGTATTATAACTAGCCATAATCAGCAACAAGAGTGGAACGGAGACAGTTGTGTTACAGGCTTATCACCACAGGTTAAAGCTGACAGGTTGTGTCCGTCACTAAAACTTGGCGTGGTATGAGGATTCGTACAGCTCCATAACCCGAGAAATGGCGAGGTGGCTCAGTGGTTAGAGCGCGAATTTACTGACCGGGATGTCCGTGGTTCGAACCCGACCCGCTCTGCCTCTCGACTTCCCCTGCCAAGACTTGGGCAACCTGACAGTATCCCAGCCCTCCTGCTTCCTTCTGGTAGCATGGCAGCTAGGCACCGAAAGGGTGGTACAGCTGAACGGGTTACATCCCACTAAGGTATACTGTGGAGTGTATGAATAACGCTAACACAGTCAGGTTGATCAATGGATGGAAGTTCGACCAACGCAGTTTCCCGGACTTTGGCGACTTTCTCCTTTTGAATGTAGACTGACATGACGATCCCGCGTCAACCATCGCAGTCTTATAGTTGGATTTTTGAGCCAAAGGCTTTTGATCATGGCCTTGATCGTCTTCCTGACTAGGTACAATCTCCATAGCACTATCCTAACCCACGCACGACCATGAATTGCAAACCTCGGCCATCAAGCGGTGCCGTCAGCCGCGTCGTCTTACTTGACGCATACAACAGGGTGGGTAGGTGGAAACAGGTTACTGGTGACTACGCACTTATTCACCTTTCACATATTTGTTGTGTTCCCTTTTCCCACCCCGTTTCTAGTGACAACCCATACTCAAGGACCGACAGGCTCGCTTGCCGCCCATAGGCGCTGGATGCAGTTGACTCAGTATTCAAACCCTGATACCCTGCTCATCTGATTGCCCTTAAGCTTTGAACTCTGGAAGAAGGTGGATAACTGGTCGCTCTTGCATCTAAGCGAAAATCGCCTGTATGTTTCGAAAGTGGACATCCCCATCGGTTTCTGGTTGCGCACTTCTGGTGATCCTGCTGCGGTTGGCATCATCCTAAGCCCCCGAGTTAATGGGTCTGTAGGTTCATGGTTGATTGGCGACTCTGTGCGGTCCTTTTGGCAACGTCTGTGAGGGGATTCAGTAAGCGCACCGGTAATCTCTGTCTGCCGGTGTGCCTATGCCCCAACAGAATGGATTTCGCGATGATCGGATCACCCTGTGACCGAGATAGTGTTGTGGTTGGTAGATATGTGGACGTCCAAGTAAGCAGCATTGCTGAGGCCTGGAATCGGGACGCATAGAATACGGCGAATACCTGTCACAGTTGTGTGCTGACCTCTTTTTGTGCAGTACCAGCTTTCGCGAAAACTGAAGCTGCTTGGCCAAATGATGACGCGAACGAACCATTAGCCACAGGTGGCATTGGTCAGTCACCACCTGTGTGGATCCGAATCACGTGATTATCGCTTTTTGTTGCACTTTTCAGCGTCATGTAAGGAGCCCACGGACCCTGATGCAAACGGAACGCATCAGAACCACCTACTGAAGGGTCGTTTCCGAAAGCACGTCTTCTGATGTTGGTTCTCACTGGCTGGGTGCCGCTGGGTCCAACCAACTGAATCTAGGCAGTGGATCTCAAGCGACATTAAAATTTCTCGAAATTCAGACGTGCTGAGAACGCAGTGCCAATCAAAGGATTGTCAGAATTCAGATGAAGACGCTATCTTTGCGGATAGAAAAGCTTGCGAAATCCCCAATGCTGAGGTGGTGAAGGAAGCAAGAAATTTCAGGCCTCTCGCAGAATGGGTCCACAGACACATCCGATCACCACTGGTAACGCCACCTGACTTATTTCTAAAACAAACACCTGAATTGGGTTTAACACTTTCAAAAACAAGTCAGCTGACCAGCTGCAGTTGCTTGGTCAGATCCCTAACCGACAGAGCACCACCCCCCAGGGCAGTGAACTTGGAACCATCGACGGTTTTGGAAACAAGTGACTGCCTTTTGTCATTCAAGCGCCACCAAGATCCTGATTCCTCTCAATCGGTTCAACGTTGAGAGTGAAATCCTCAAATGGTGCTTGTCTAACTTGTTTACTTCCATTTGGGAGAAAAAGACCGTCCCAACTAAATGCGTTGAGTCGACATTGGTGTCCACTCTAAAGAAGAGTGCTCGAAATGAGTGTAGAATTCACCGTGGGGTTTTATTCACCTGGATTGTAACCGATTGTAACCGATCCAAAAGATTACAATACGGGTTGTTTTATCGCATGGCTGTGAAACTCAGCCATTTCGGGCGGAGGACCAGAGACGTCTCTAGACCTCTGACCAACTATGTTTCAGAACTATGACTGAAATTGTCTGAATTCAGCGAATATGGAGTTATTGTGACCGGAGAACGGATCTTTGTTGAAGCGGTTGCTATCCCACCCAAACAAACGCATGGGCCACCTGTTATGCAGGTCAGATTACGGCCTACCGAGACGAGCGCTGATTTCCGTGTTTAATTCGGAGTTGAGGCAGGAAAGGGGTAGTTAGCTATGCCGAAAGTGTTTCGAGAAGTTCGGGCGCCGTTCGTGCTTTTTGCCTCCCAGGATAGGGTCCACGTGACTGTCCTTGGCTGGAAGCGGTGACCAATATGACAGCTAACCGACGCCAGTGGTGTTCATGTTGTCAGTTACTACACATATTGCCTGACTGAGTGCTGGCAGTGTATGGATCTTGTTCGTTTGTAGTAGCCTAGCCCTAGGTTCTCTCCCGTCTCCCATTACTTTCTTTTGATTTTACATTGGCATGGTTATACGGCAGTAGTGCATTAGGGTTCTCTTCTGGTGTTGCATCCAATAATGATGATGATGACTTTCGTACGTATAAGCTGTTTCGGCACTGACGGATCTACACGGCCTCACTGAAAGTTAAAATCTTTGAATTTACATTGCAACGCCGTAGCGCAGCCAACTGTGTGTCCAGAAGACAGAACTTGTTTGGCGACCCACGAAGCAGGTTTTTGGGTCTCGGCTTGCAAGCCATCCGTCGATGTATCAGTCACGTGACTCAACTACGGGGAAATTATCTTGTGTGTGTTCCCATCGGTTCTACCAGTGTTGCTTCACCGCGACTGCTTGTGAACTGGGCAAGGAACTCTCCATCCCTTACCAGAGTAAGGAGCATAAATAATTTATCTTTTAGGGGCTAATAGAGTAAAACAGAAAAATTGTAAACTGTGTCTAGTACAAAGGGGCGTGCAGTACACTGAACACTCAGAATCGCCATTTGGGTGTCTGGCAATGAAGCTGTCTAAGAATCCAAGTTTGTTACTGTTTCCTACCCCAGAAAACCGATGCAAACTTTTCATGTAGGCATGAGAACTCTCAAAGTGTAAACGAAAACGTGTAAAAACGAAAACGCCGTTCAGTGATTTATTGTAGAGGTATTGTTTGTTTCCTGAATGAGATCCCTGCTCGTGGATTTTCAGATGCGTGACGTGACCTGTTGAACCTTTGGATTTGTAAACTACTCAAAGTGAGAATTTACAGTTTTCCAGCAAGACTAGACAGGTAGACAGGGTTCACAGAAGTGCCATACAAACCGTTTGCACACGGACCAGATATGAAGAGAGTACAACTCACATCAGCGCTCCGTTGTGGCGCATATAGGCTCTCTGTCTCGGAGCTGCGACCGGTCCCAGTAGGCGAAGTCTCACTCGCCCGATGACAGGGTCGGCGCCCCCAGTTGGCGCCCCCGCCGGCACCAGCACATCCCACGTTCTTCGTAATTACCTTGATCATGTGCAGCTGCGATACCATTCTTTTCGCCTCGCAAAAAAGACCAACAATGTGTGTTGCCAGAGGGAATCGATGGACTGAAAAACATTCACCGCAGCGATGAATCACTAGACAACGGAGCAATTTTTACAGGTTACTTCATGGCAGAAAGAGCTGCGTTTCTCCCTTTGTGCACCAGTTAGTACTATGGGAACTTATGTCAACTTGTTCTGGTCACATTTAAGAATCTGGTAAGCATTTAATCTGCGCTGTGAAAAGTTTGAAAATTATTCTGAGACAGGCATAATTTATCGACCTGTGAGTTCCATGCCTACATTCTATTCTATTCTTTGCTTACTATGGCAGACGATCATGTACGGTCTCGCGACGAGTTCATCCTGCAACTGAGTTGCAACGAATACCAGGTTGGCTTTTAAAACATACCTAACTAGAGATAGGTTATCAGATATGGACTATTCGAATGTTTGTACGTTTTTAATGTACTACTCATAAGGTTGCTGAAAATCCGTCGACAGCCCACGACCGGTTTCGCCCTTCTTGGGGCTCAGGGCCTGAGAACATCACAAACGAGAGATCCAGCTGGGTTCCAGGTGAGTCTCTCGAAAAACCAAATTAGTTTGCAAATGAGTGTATATTCGATAGTTTCCACGTTTCACTTTATTCCGTGATGCTAAACTCTTCGGATCCAGAGTGTATCGATGCTGAAGGCTGTAGGCTGGGCGAAATTTCAAATGCCTCTATACAGTGGGATATTATGAGAGGTGAATGAATCCATGGTTTTTTACCTTCCATTCCTGGAAGAATCATTTAACCCAGGTGGAGTGGGAAAACTTCACAGATGAGCTGTATTGATCTGACTCGTTTGGAAGTGTGACACTTCAGTGGCTATGCATTTTGTCGAACGGCGAAAGAACCCTCGTGTTTAGTCGTGGAGATGGTACAAAGCAACAAAACAAGGCTGTTGTTTCTTTGGATTGACTGTGGGCACAATGAGTTTTACTCACTGAACACCATTCAAGCATGGGGCGGTTTGTGTATGACACATTCAGTTGAAAAAGATTCAGCCGGAATTTAGTTGTCTCATTCGTTAAAACCAAACGGGTGTGAGGGGGAGTGCATTTCGCTAGCGAATTCCGTACAATTGGGGCTCAAGTAGAACATAACGCTGAAAGAACCTCAAGGACTGGGCCCGCGAAATGGACAAACCCAGTCGAGGGTTTTCAGCGACCATTTGAGTAGTTCTGTGCAAGAAATAAAACAAACTCCACAGGTACGACGGAACTGCGTCCAACAGGCACTCGACGAACAGACCATTCATCTGCGCAAATATATTAGTCAGATGTTGGTGAATGACTTCCCCCAATACATCAAAAGGCGACGCCGTTGCACGTTAGAAAACGAGTGTGCCTTATTTCAAGTTGTGCCACAGTTAGAAGGTAGAATAGTAAAAAAAGAAACAAAGACGGATATATGGAAGCAATTATAAAATAGCATATTAAATACAAAATACATACTAAGCGACAACTGGGTAATTTATTTCAACATGGTGGGAAATGTGAAGATGAGAAGGTATCCCCAACTATTCTTATATCCACCCCTGTTCACCAAGTCTCCCTC